TCATACAATTAATCGTGTAAATCAGTAACGTGACAACTGAAATTAGTTCTAGGCTATGAATATGATACATGAGATTCATTGCATGCTGCAGCCCTGAAATTGTCTTTACTTGCTTAAACATCATCTTAAAGTCGTTCACAATTAGTTACTTTTAATTTACTGCATAATTAGGAATAGTAGTTAAACAAGCATCACTATCTCTTTAAACAATTACTTTTATTGTATTTGTAGAATTGAGTGTTAAATATAATTTGATCATAAGTCCCTTGGGAACGATAACTAGTTTCTTTACGAAACTATATTACTTGAGCGACCGCGTACATTTGCGTGTATATTGGGGAGCAACAAGTTTTTGGCGCCGCTACCAGGGACTTAGAAATTGATTTATATTCGATTTTCTTAAGTCTACAATTAGAATATTCAGGTGTTAATAACTTGATCTTAGCCTTTTATTGCAGGCACTTTAATTTCAAGTCTGGCTCGGAAAGGAGAACTTGTAGAACCAGACAACGAACCTGAAAGTGCTTTACGCCGATGCAGGAAAATGGCTAATCTAGGACGTAAAGGAGAATTGGGATTGGGTCTTCATGAAAACAATGAGGGTAACAACCAAGAAAACCTAAATAACCAAGAGGTACCCCTAATCATACCGGCAAGACCAGTCCGTGACGTGGCAGTCCCACTCACAACCAATATGGCGTCTAGGATAAGGAAACCACCACCGGGGGGGTAGATTTGAACTAAAACAGAGCATGGTACAACTCCTCCATTCTAATAGACAATTTACCGGTCTCCTCCACGAGGATCCTCAAATCCACCTTAGGAACTTTATAGAGATTAGTGATACATACATCCCAAATGGAGTCTCATTGGACTATGTGAGGCTGACGTTGTTACCATATTCGTTGTTAGGAGCCGCCAGACAGTGGTTAGACCAAGAGCCACCAAACTCCATCACTACATGAGATTATCTAGCAAAGAAGTTCTTGAGTCGATTCTTTCCATCTAAGAAAACCACACGGTTGAGGAGTGAGATATTAAGATTTAAGCAAAACCAGAGGGGGGATATGTACCAAACATGGACTTGTTTTAAACAAATGTTGAATGCTTGCCCGCACCACATGCAAGTTAATGAGGTACTTGCTCACACGTTCTTTGAGGGTTTAGATTATAATGCACATGTACTTCTTAATAGTGCAGTAAGTGGACATGCCCTAGCAAAAACCCATGAGGAGTTATTCGACTTACTCGATAAACTCTCAGAATGGAACCCGGGGTATGAGGGGGAAATTCCTAGAACCACAACCCAAAGGGCCGCGGGAATCTTTGATTGTAGATCAAGCTACCACCATAAACGCCAAACTAGATGAAATGCAATATAAAATGACCATGCATTTCAAACAAATGGCCCTAAACCAAACACCGATAAACATTGTACAACAAGCAACCAATTGGTGTGGAGTTTGTGGTAGTGGAGCACATGAAATCGAATTTTGTGAGGCAAACCCGGATTTCGTGAACTATGTGGGTAATGCTCAAAGAGGTGGAGGTCAACAAAACTATGGTAATACATATAACTCTAGTTGGAGGAATCATCCTAACTTCTCATGGGGTGGGAACCAAAACCAAAACCAAGTGCAAGGGGCTAACCAATACCGTTCCCAAGGGGCTGGCAGAAATACCAAAATCCTAACCAAGGCGCAAATCCTAGTGTACCAAAGGAGGGGGATGACTAATGAGGAATTACTCCAACAGCTCATGGTTGAACTAGGGACAAAGATAAATGCTAGGATAGATAATCAGGATGAGAACATCAGAAACATCCAAATGTCCCAAATGAGTTTAGAGAAACAAGTTGAACAAGTAGCCAATTCTCTGAACTTGCGTCCCTAAGGTGGATTGCCCGGTTTTACGGAACCCAACCCAAAGCAATTGAATGTGGTAAGTACTAGAAGTGGGTTACAACTAGAGGAACTAGCTCCAAATAAGATAGATGCTGAGGAAGGTAATAAAGAAAAAAAAGTGGAATAGGTAGTAAAGAACTCCAATGTTGAGACGCTCGTTTCTCAAAAGAAACTACCCCCTCCGTTTCCAGAAAGGCTCAGAAAGCAGAATTAAGACGAATGCTTTGGTAAGTTTCTCTCTCTCCTTAAACAAGTTCACATTAACCTGCCTTTGGTTGACATTTTTCAGGGTATTCCGAAGTATGCTAAATACGTGAAGGAAATAGTGGCTAACAAGAGGAGGCTCACGGAGTACGAAACTGTGGAACTTACTGAGGAGTGCAACTCTAGAATTCAAAATAGACTACCCAAGAAGTTAAAAGATCCGGGAAGTTTTATTATGCAGAGTACTATTGGGAAAAGTGTTCTTGCTCGGGGGTTGTGTGATTTGAGGGGGAGTATTAATCTTATGTGCTTATCATTGTATAAAAATCTTGGGCTGGGTAGTCCAAAATGAACCACTGGCATTGTCCAACTTGCTTATAGGTCCATTTCTAGGCCAGAGTAGGTAGTAAAGGATGTGTTAGTACAAGTAAGTTCCTTGATCTTCCTGGTGGATTTTATGGTTTTAGATTTTAAACCTGATTATGAAGTTCCATTCATTTTGGGACGTCCGTTCTTGGCTACGGAGAGGGCATTGATTGATGTAGTAGATGGGTAATTAACTATGAGGGCACATGATACGGTTGAAGTGTTTGATGTTTACCGCGCCTTAAAATTGCCTTCTATCTGTGAAGAGTTATCTGCTATTATGATTGTAGATCACATAGTAGAATCGCAGTTAGTTATGCGCGAAGATCCCTTAGAAAGAGTGTTAGTGGGCCATGAGGTAGACGGAGATACTGAGGCTCAAGAAATAGAGACATGATTGAATATGTCATTCATGGATAATCACAAGCGTAGAGTGGATCCATTAGATCGTGAATTAGGGCCTCCACCCAAACCCTCAATCGAAGAAGCTCCTAAGTTGGAACTGAAAAAACACTGCATGCTCACCTAAGGTATATGTATTTGGGTACTAACAAAACCTTGCATGTTATACTTTCTGCAGAGTTGTCTCAACTACAGGTTGATGCGGCATTGAGGGTCTTAAAGGGAAGAAAGAAAGCTATTGTATGGCAGATGCCTGATATTCATGGGATTAGTCTGCCGTTATGTATGCACATAATCTACATGGAAGAGGATCAGAAACCAAGTGCACAACATCAACATAGGCTAAATCATTTGATGAAAGAAGTGGTGAGAAAAGAAGTGATAAAGTGGTTAGATGCTAGAATTGTATACTCGATTTCTGATAGTAAGTGGGTAAGTCTTGTGCAGTGTGTTCCCAAGAAGGGAGGCATGAACGTGGTAAGAAACGAGAAAAATGAGTTGATTCCTACTAGAACAGTGACCAGATGGAGAATTTGTATGGATTATTGGAAACTAAATGATGCTACCCGAAAATACCACTACCTGGCTCCCTTCATTAATCAGATGCTTGACCGACTAGCAGGGCAGGAGTACTATCGTTTCTTAGATAGGTATTTCGAATACAACCAGATTTTAATTGCACCCGAGGATCAGGAAAAGACCACGTTCACTTTTCCTTATGGTACCTATGCTTTCAAACGCATGCCATTCGAACTTTGCAATTCACTGGCAACTTTTCAAAGGTGTGTGATGGCCATTTTTCATGATATGGTGGAAGACTTTGTAGAGGTTTTCATTGATGATTTCTCCGTCTTTGGGAAATCTTTTGAGGTATGTCTCCGAAATCTTGATAAAGTACTTGCTAGGTGTGAGGACACTAAATTAGTGCTAAATTGGGAGAAGTGTCAATTTTTGGTTAGAGAGGGGATGGTGTTGGGTCATTAGTTGTCGAAGTCGGGATTAGAGGTTGATAAAGCCAAGGTAGAAGTTATTGAAAAATTTCCCCCTCCCATTTCTGTAAAAGGGGTGCGAAGTTTCCTTGGTCATGCAGGTTTTTACCGAAGATTCATCAAGGATTTCTCCAAGATTGCAAGACCTATGTGCATTCTTTTGGAGAAGGAGGTAAAATTTGACTTTGATGAGATGTGCTTGAAAGCTTTTGAGACATTGAAGAGGAACTTGATTGAGGCTCCCATCTTAATTGCTCCTAATTGGGAATTACCATTTGAACTCATATGTGATGCAAGCGACGTAGCAGTCGGTGCAGTGTTGGGACAAAAAAGAGATAAGGTGTTCCACTCGATCTATTATGCAAGTAAGACCCTGGATTTTCTGCACAAGTTAATTACACAGTGACTGAGAAGGAGATGTTAGCTCTAGCGTTCGCCTTCGACAAGTTAAGATTGTATTTGGTAGGTACTAAGGTGATTGTTTTTACTGACCATGCAGCTATTAGGTACCTATTCAACAAGAAGGATGATAAACCAAGGCTGATTTGGTGGATATTGCTTCTCCAAGAATTTGACCTTGAGATTAGGGATAGAAATTGTACTGAAAATCAAATAGCTGATCATTTGTCTAGGTTGAAGGATTTTTCCCATGTGCATGAAGGTGAAGAAATCTGGGAAGAGTTTCTGGATGAACAGTTGGCACTAGATATCTCTCAAGTGCCTTGGTATGCAGACATTGTGAATCTAATAGTAAGTGGTGATTACCCTCCGGGTGCAACCACCCAACAAAAGAAAAACCTTAATCATGATGCTAAGTTCTATATCTGGGATTAACCGTTCTTATCCAAGCAATGAGTGGATCGGGTGGTGAGAAGATGCATTTCGGACTATGAGGTTAAAAAAGTGCTCGAAAGTTGTCATGCTAGTCCATATGGAGGACACCATGGAGGAGAGTGCATGGTGCATAATGTACTACAATCTGGTTTCTTTTGGCCCTCGTTATTTAAAGATTCTATTTCTTTTGTGAAGGGTTGTGATAAATGCCAAAGATTGGGTACTATTTAAAGAAGAAATGAGATGCCGCTAAGTAACATTCTGGAGGTGGAAATTTTTTTATGTGTGGGGTATTGACTTTATGGGTCCCTTCCCACTATCTAGTGGAAACCAATACATCCTTGTGGCTGTTGATTATGTGAGTAAATGGGTTGAGGCTGTTGCTCTTCCTTCGAATGATTCAAGGGTTGTGATCAAGTTCATCAAGAAGCATATTTTCACTCGCTTTGGGACTCCAAAGGCAATCATAAGTGATGGAGGTAAGCATTTCATTAACCATCTAATGAAAAATCTCTTGCTAAGTATGGTATTCGTCATTAGGTTGCTAAAACTTACCATCCTCAAACGAGTGGCCAAGTGGAAGTTTTGAATAGAAACGTGAAACAAATTTTACAGAAAATGGTGAATGCACAGAGGAAGGATTGGTCTGGAAAGTTAGATGATGCGTTGTGAGTGTATATGAATGCATATAAGACACCCATATAGACTTCTCCCTATCACATAGTGTTCGGTAAAACATGTCATCTTCCGGTAGAACTAGAACACCAAGCTTATTGGGCGATAAATAGGTTAAATTTGGCCCCGAGCTAGCCGGTAGGAAAAGAGTGAATCAACTACATGAACTTGAGGAGTTTAGGCTCCATGCGTATGAAAATGCCAAGCTCTACAAAGAAAAGATGAAAAGGTGGCTTGACAAGCACATAGTTCATCGCACATTCACTCTGGGAGAAAAGGTACTACTCTTTAACTCTAGATTAAGGTTATTCCCCGGAAAACTAAGGTCTAAATTGAGTGGTCCTTTCGAAGTTGTAAGAATGACACAACATGGGGCTGTTGAACTTAAAGGTGAAACTGTCCCTACGTTCTTGGTAAATGGGCAAAGAGGAAACCCTACTTTGGAGAAGATTCGGATCGTGATCAGGAGGCTCTTGAGCTAAATGATGAATAATCCAAGTTGAGTCGTGCCGCGACGTTAAATCAAGCGCTACATGGGAGGCAACCCATGAACAATATGTAATAGATAGGTAATTTGTTTTAAATTTTGAAATTTTATTTTAGCGTAGTTTAAATTCTTAGAATCTAGGTAGTATTCTAAGAGCCCGTTTGGATTGACTTAAAAAAAAGTAACTTTTTAAAAGTGCTGAAACTTATTTTTAAAAGAAGTAGTTATGTGTTTGGATAAAAGTGCTGCAGTTGAAAAAAAGCTGTTGATGTGTTTGGCAAATAAGTGCTGGTAAACACTTTTTTTTATCAAAATGTCTGAAATACCCTTAAAGTTGTTAACATGATAAAAAGATGATTAATTTAAGGTTTTTATACTTAAAAAAAATAAAACATAATAATAATAATAATAAACAACAACATAATAATAATAATAATAATAAGAATAAGAATAAGAATAATAATAATAGTAATAAACATAAACATAATAATAATAAAGAAAAGAGAAATGATATTTCTCTTAGAAAATTCTGATATACAGAGAAGAAAAGAACCTTGGAAGATATTCCAAAGGTACTTGCTCAATGGTCTATACTTCCCAGGTGAGTCATACAAAACTCGGAAGTATTATGAGACTTTACTAATAAGTACGAGTGTTGGATGAAGAAGATCCGTATGACGATCTTGATGAGACTACTGAGGATGATCTTCCTCTGCCTCTGCCTCTACCCTTAGTTATCCAAGGGTGTTCCATTCTGCAAATGAAACAACAAGTTTTAGACCCAATATGTGTCATAATCATAGTTTCTTCCTTCTGTTGTTTGGAATAGATCTATCAACATTCCATCTATAATTTTTTCGCAAATAAGTTCTTTTAAATCTCTGTTAAGAGGAAGAACCTTTAGACTAGTAATCAATCTTTTTTCTATAAAAAACATAGAGATAGGAATATGATCATCTTCTGAAAAACTACTATATTCACTCATTTTGAATGTATTCTCTTGATAAGAAGTCTGGGAGGGAGTTATCACTTCCTTTCTTATAAAGGATTTCAAAATCAAAAGGGGCTAATTGTGCTTGCCACCTTGCAAACATAAGTTTTGAAGCATCGTGTTTAAAGTCTTTGTCAAACATATATTTGACTGACTGAGCATCGGTCTTTATTAAAAACTTCTGATTGTATAGATCATCTTGGAACTTTAAAACACATTTAACGATAGTTAACATTTCGTGAGCTACCGTAGCATATTTTCGTTGAGCATCGCTCCATTTTCCTGAATGAAATCGAATAAGATATTCGTGCTTATCATGCGGGTTAATTTGTTTAAGAATTCCTCCATAACCCATATTGGACGCATCTGTTTCTACTATTTTAGGCCACTCGGGATTGGCGAGAGTTAAACAAGGTAAATACTTAACTCTTTCCTTGATAGTTTTAACCAGATTTGTAAGACTATCAGTCCAAGGTTTTTTAAGCTCCTTTTTTAGTCTTTCGTATAACGGAGCTAGGTCTCGAGACAGATTTTTGTAAAAAGGGGAAATGTAATTTAAACTTCCCAAGAATCGTTGTAACTGAGTTCTATCCGGAAATTTTGATGCGAATTCGATGGATCGCTGAATCGCTGAATAGGAGTAATCTTTCCCTGGCAAATGAGATGACCCAAAAACCTGACATCGGTTTGGAAAAGACTCATCTTAGGTTTAGATATTACCAAACCATTTTGAATAACTATTTTCTTGAAAATGTCCAAATGTTTGATATGAGGGGCATTTTTCAAACCAAATGGCATTACATTCCATTCGTATTGTCCGAAGGGGACATTAAAAGCAGTTTTATATGAATGCTCTTTAAATATTTGAATCTGCCAATATCTTGATTATAAATCAAATTTTGAAAATATATTGGCGTCATATAATCTTGACAGAAGATCTCTTTTATTGGGAATAGGATACCTGATCCATTTTAAAAATTTGTTTAACGGTTTATAATTTATAACTAACCTGGGAACACCACGTTCTTTCTCTGTTGCATTGTTCACATAAAAAGCAGTACACGACCAAGGTGACTTGGAAGGTTTTATCAAACCTTTTTGTAACAGATTATCAATCTCCCTTTTGCAGAATTCAACTAGTTCAGAATTCATTTGGCAAGGGCGGGATTTCGTAGGAATATTTTCCTCAGAGAAATCATCTTCATATGGAAGAGTTACGATGTGCTTTTTTCGATTCCAGAAAGCACTAGGATGATCAGCACAAATATCAATGGCTATCTGTTCAGAGATTATGTTAATCTTCTCCTGAACTTTAGTAGTTTTTAAAGTATAAAAAATATTCATACTAAAGATTTCAAGCTGTAAATAATTAATATGCTTTTGTTTCATTTCAATCAAAGCATTAATATCACGAGAAACAGGTTCAGTGATGAAAGTATAATTAATATCACGATCCTTATAAGTGGCTGAAAAACCTTTAGCATTTATATTTGTAAAAGGATAAATAACATTTATAAAAGGAGTTCCTAAAATGATAGGAGGGTATAACTGATTTTTTACCAAGAAAAAGAAGTGAGGAATACAAACTTTATTTTGGCAAATACGACTGTTTGATAATTTATACTTTATATCTAAAACATGTCCTGATGCGGATTTAACCAAATGAGTAGTTTTTTCAAAATATTTAGTAGGAACTAGTCCTTCTTGAATGCAACTTACATCAGCTCCACTGTCAATCATGACAATATTAGATATAGAAAAAGAATTATCAATTAAAATAGTACATTTAACATACCATTTATGAGCTGTAACAACTTGCATCATTCCTAAAAATATTTTGTTTTGGATCATTATTAGTTGTTTTGGCAAGAATATTTTCATCAATTTCGTCATCAACCTTATTCTTTCCTTTGCTATTAGCAGACTCAATTTGAGTAAGACGGTGATAAAAAATAATATGATTTTGTTTAAGAAATTTAATTTCTTCCTTTAAATGCTTAATTTCTCCTTTTAAATCATCAAAAGAGGAATCACGAACTACCGTAGTTTGTCTAGATGAAAGTCTATTATGAACTTTAGACAGAGAATATGGAGCAGAATAAACAAAATCATCTTTACCCCTTTTATCATCAGGGCTGCTGTGCGCTGAAGAGCTAGTTTTACTAGCCGCCAATTGGATAATTTTTTCACGAAGAGTGTTAGCAGTAACTTCTTTAAGAAGTTCTATAACATTGTCTGAGGTTATGGTGAATAAGTTCATATCCTCGAATTGAGATTGTAGCTTGTAGAACTCGCCATGTTCACAATTACAAATATCACCATGACATTTGCTAGTATCATTTGAGTCTTGTTGATCTTTAGAAGACTCAGGTTGTTCATCTTCTGTTGAATAACTTGCTTCAGAATCTTCGTAATCTGACTCGGAACCTGAAGTATAAAGAAAACTATAAACCTTTTCTTGAATATCATCATCTAGTTCTAAAGCTTTAAGCTTTTCTAGCTTACAATTTGGAGCTATATGTCCAAATTTTCCACACTTGTAGCATTTGATCTTATCAAGATCTCTTTTTGACCTATTTCTTGTAAATCTATGAGACTTACGAGAAGCTTTCCGTTCTTCTCTTTCTTCTCTAGATCTCCTTCTGGATCTTTTTCTCCTCCGATGAGATCTATGGTGTTCAGACTTAGCAGTCTCATGTTTGGTACCTTTAGAAGCATCTGGTAAACCAAACTGTGTACAGAAATCTCCTAATTGAGATTTCTCTCTTAGCTTATCTATCTTAAGCTGTCTAGAGAGTTTTAACTCATTGCATAAATTTATGCCTTCTTGAGTACAAGCTCCAATAAGCTTTCCATATGTATAATTATTATAAGGAACAATCCCTTGAGGGTCTCTTAGAGTTTTCTTAACTCTTTCTGCGAATAAAGGCGGTAAGCCATCTATGAATTTAGCCTTCCAAAATTCTAATCTATTTTTGGGAAGTTCCATTACCCGACTTAGATAAGTATCTTTATACCATCTAAATTCACCCAAATGTCTACATCTTAGACCATTAAGAAGGGATCTGACGGTTTCATACTGGTTGGTAAATCTACCACTAAAATGTTCTAGGATGGTTAGGACCAAAGTATAAACAACATCTTCTCTGTTCTTGACTAAGGCAAATCCTAGGTTATCAACTCCTTCAGAGGCAGTTTTAGCATTTATAACCGCTGCTTTAGCATCTATAGCCATATAGTTGTCCCACCAGCCTCTTAATTGACCAATAAAACCTGCAATAATCATTTTGCAAATAGTCCTATCTGTGTTATTAACACTTTTGCAAATAGTAGCATACATAAGCATCCTATGGACCAAGATTGTTAACTGCCTATCTGTTAACCCATCTAGATTCCATTCATATATCTCACTTCTACTGTAAGAAGTGTTAGTTTGATTCCAATCTCTTTCTTCTATAAGAACATCTTGTGGGGTAGGTCTAGGATAGTAGTAAAGTCTGCATACTAGGTTTTGTAGCATAACCACTATTCTTTTTAGGATACCCACGAAGCTTATTAACTTCCATTTCCACTTGTTTCTTAAAATCGAAAGTGGCTTCCATTTCATCTGCAAAATTTTCTGCAATACTGATGGGTTTTGCACTTGCACCAAACTCTGAAAACTTCTTATCAAGAAGGCTTTCTAGATCATGAAGAGGTCTAAGAATGAAATCCTGTATCTCAGGAGGCCTTTGAATAGGTACGTCAGGTTGTTTTGACGTAGATGCCTTTTCAGGCGCAGACTTCTCAGCTTTCAGTTTATCATCAATTTGGGTTATCAAAGAAATAAGTTTATCTAACTTATTATCAAGAGAACAGATATGCTCACCAATAACTTTAACATAAAGAGCCAAATAATTATTTTGAGAAATAATTCGATTGATTTCATTGATACTTACTGCAGCAACCTCATTTTCAATAAAGTTTTGAAAAGCAGTAAAGGTTATACCTGTATTATTTGGTAA